GAGAGAGAGAGAGAAAGTAAAATCCTCATTTATTGTAGTAAATAGAATGCTTGCGATATCTTTGTATGATTCGCAACTTGTCAATTTACCATACAATGTAAAAATATGTACGCATGTAAAACATTATATTTAAAACAAATGGAAAAAACAAATCACATATAATACGTATATAACATTATTTATTTCGTTGTAAGCTGCAGTTTAAATATTTCGATAAACGTATATTTTTTTTTAACAATAGCGTGTCCAACTATTTTAAACAATATATAATTTCAGTTTATTCGAATAACAGCGTTTCGCGTTATCAGAATTGTCGTTATGTGCTTTTCTGTGGCTCAGCGTTTGAAGAAATGACAAAGCGAGCAGGTAAAATCTCGTACTTCATTTATAACATTACGGTTCTTATATATTCCGTGTAATGTATCCTCTTCAGTATGTGCGCTACATAGCAGACCTCGTCTGCTTGGCGGGTATACGATGTTCTATGTATGTATTTCTACGTACACGTTTCTCAGATGAGAGGAAACAGAAAGTCGGGAGTACTTCACCGCCATTTCCGGCGAGATCTCACGACCGTCTCTCGCGCGCGCGCGCGCGCATCTCTGTCGAATGCAAAAAGGGTGAATGAAGAATAGCGTCTGCATGCACCACGGCGCGAAATTTTCTCGCGATGAAATAGCCGCCCTCTCCCAGCCCCACCTCCCCCCTTACACGAATATGAGACATTATGTTTATGAATCGCGATAAAGTACGCGTGATAAAAGATACGAATTACCGGCCGTCGCGCTCGAACGCGTTCAATCGGTCTAAAATGCGTGATATTGCGCGCGCGCGCGCGCGCGCATTGAATATTTATGCACGTTTAAATTTAACCACATTTACAACGCCGCCGTTTGTCGGGAATTTATTGCGCGCGTTAAGGTATTCCCGTTTCCATCGTTTTTGGATTGTAAATGCTTCATTCTCTGTTTCGCTTTCCATGTAACAGCTGTGCACTGAAGTCGAGCCCAACGTTAGAGACTGAACTTAAAACGCAAATTGCATTAAAGAAATATTTTATTTCTCAATTTATTATATTTGATAGAAGTAGAATTTTTCAATTTTGCAACACATATTACGATTTAATCTTCTTGCGGATTCTATTTTTTATCATTTCCTCTCTCTCTCTC